GCATCCAAACACCCAAATTCAAAGCATTTTCTCGGCATCCAAACACCCAAACTGTACCATTTTCCAGCCAAACAAATGAAAACACACTAAGCTTCTTTGCCCAACTGCTTCTGTTCTTTCCATTTCCATTTTGAACATATAACAAACATATGTCTTTGAGCAAACCAAAATATAACAAAAAAAAAATGCAAAAAAGTGGAGCTGGGTTCAGGGAACCCAGCAGATATAGAGGAAGAAGAGGAAGAAAGAAGAGGAAGAAAGAAAAAGAAAAAGAAGAAAGGAAGAAGATGATCGAAAGAGGGGAAGAAGATGGATAAAAAAGGGGAGAGGGGTAAATTTGTAATTTTTTATTTTTTTATTAAGACAAAATTGATTGATGAGTTGGCAGTGAGTTGGCTTGAAAAAAAATTCCACATCAACGTTTTTGAAAATTATTTTTGCCACATCATAAAAAATATTATAAAAAATGCCATATAAACGAGTTAACGGCCCGAATTAACAGAAGAACTAACGGAGTGCATTTCGTATAGTTAAAGGATCAAAAAAGTGCAAAAAATTGTTAAGGGACCAAAAATGTGCAACTCACTAAAGTTGAGGGACCAATTTTAGCATTTAACCATAATTCAAACACTCTTATCCATTAAATTAGATGATTGTTAACTATTAATTTCAAATTGCTATATCAAATAACATCATAACTTATCAACAAAAGAAACCTTTTATTTATCATAATAATAATAATATTAAATCTAAAATTTATTCTTCATAACTAATTCTTTAAAGAGTTTAAAAATACTTAACATGTATTTCAAGAATATAGTTATTATATATTTTATTATTAATTTATATAAAATATATAAAAATTAACTTAAATTTTATTAATCATTAAATTAAATTAAATTATTTCTCACATTAGAAAAAATCCAAACTTTTAACATCTCTAATAGAATTCTCGGTATATATCCCGGTGTAGGTCTATTAATATTTAAGCAAAGTATTTATTCTCACAAAATAAAAAGTGCATGACCTTCACGAAAAGGTGTTGGTAATAACAACTGCCGTATTAAGTGGTAAAGGCATCATAAACAAACATGAAGCCCACAGCTAAATGCAAATTGGTTAAGGCATCATACATACATTCTTGCCAAAAATAACTAAACAAGAAAGGCATCATTACGCACCTAGCCCTTTGGATCAATTGACATCTTATCAGTTTGAGGTACATTCTTTTTTTTTCATAGGTGGGTTTCGAGCCCGTCTCTTAACAACTTATTCAAAAAAGAAAAGAAAAGAAAAGAAAGGCATCATTATGCATATGGCTTTCAGGCTAACTAGCACCCTGACAGTTTGAGGTGCATTTGCCTCCCTCATGGACGGGCTTTGAACCTACCTCTTAACAACTTATTCACAAAAAAAAAAAAAAAAAAAAACTTTGGATCAACTGGCACCCTACCAGTTTGATGTGCATTCCTCTTCTCCCATGAGTGAGTTTCGAG